GCCCATCCCTCCTCCCCCCCACATCCATCAGTCCTCAGTTTTTGTCAGCATTCAAGAGTCTCCCATGGTTTGCCTCTCTCCCTTCCCCCACCATTTCCACCCTTCTTCTCCCCCTTGTTCCTCCGTCAAGTTCCTCCTAATCCTCCTATACGTGCAAACATATGATATTTGTCCTTCTCTGCCTGACTTATTTCTCTCAGCATAACACCCTCAAGGTCCATCCATGTTGCTACACATGGCCAGATTTCATTGTTTCTCATTGCCGTGTAGTATTCCATGGTATAGATAAACCACATCTTCTTGATCCATTTGTCCCTTGATGGACACTTAGGCTCTTCCATGTTTTGGCTATTGTTGAGAGTGCTGCTATGAACATTGCAAACACATGAAACGATGCTCAGCATCCCTCCTAATCAGGGAAATACAAATCAAAACCACACTGAGATACCACCTCACGCCATTCGGAGTGGCTAAAATGAGCAAATAAGAGAATGTGAGATGCTGGCGAGGATGTGGAGAAACGGGCACCCTCCTACACTCTTGGTGGGGGTGTAAACTGGTACAGCCCCTCTGGAAAACAGTGTGGAGGTTCCTTAAAAAATTAACAATAGAACTCCCCTATGACCCAGCAATAGCACTGCTAGGAATTTACCCAAGGGATATAGAAATGCTGATGCAAAGGTTTAATTTTTAAAATACTAAACTCGCCAATCATAGATAATTTCACTTGGTGGGGAGGGGGGTTAGTTAGGAAAAACTTTCCTAAGGAAGCAGAAGGAAGAAACTAGTATGTCTCCCTCAGATTTGGCATAAGTGACTGTGTGGGTAGATGGGATTCAGAAGAAACCAGAAGTCGGCGAGTACATGAAATGTTCCGTATTGGGCGTAAGCATGAGCTCTCTCTGGGATAAGCAAAGACAACAGTTTGAAGGAATAAAATAGCATTTTTTTCCTAATGCTTCTTATAGGCAAGTTACATGATTAAATGAAGAAGGTGGGGAAAGCAAGACATTTATAGTACAACAGACAAATGGCAATGCATTGCTAGTTAGACAGCATAATAAGTACCATCTAATTTTCTCTTTGAAATC